TCACACGATAAATTTTCTGTTATAGATCTTCTAAGCTTTCTCACTCACAACCCGATGGTGCAAATAAAATGAAGAGGAGCAAGCTTAGGGACCAAAACAGCAAGCATCACATCTAATTTATAGAACTCTGCCCATCACAGAGTTCAATGGATGTGACCACATTATGGAATGTTACTAAATTCATGTGTTGAACTTAGACATTATATGAACCACATTCTGAGAATTATTTCTCTTAAAAACACCAAAAAATTCCAACGGTTATTGAAATAAATTTGAGAATTTCAATGGGTATTGAAATTAATTTGGGAATTTCAAAAGGTATTGAAATTAATTTCGAAATTCCAAAGGGTATTGAAATTAATTTTGGGAATTCTAAAGAAATAAATTTAATTCCCATTATTAACTAATTTGGGAATCTTAAAGAAAAAATCCCAACATTATTGGCTGACTTCGTGTACTGTTTGTGTGCCTATGGCTCCTTTGACCAACAATGTTGTTCTCCTCTGTTTGAAGGCATGCATGCCTAATTCTTTTTTGAGCTATTTTTCTTTAATTAACTGGTGATATTTCGTCTCTTCCATTTTTATTATGATTGTTAGATTGTTTTTTAATTTTGTTTAATCTTATTTACTTGTCTTGTTATATTTATCATTGTTATGCTGTTGTGTCTTTGACTTGTAACTCTTTGGTTATCTTATATAAGAAAATAAATTCATAATTTTAACTGTTTTAATTAATTAAATTAAGGAAAGAACACATAAATAACATGTAGAATTGGATTAATTAATTTTGAATTATTTTAAATAATTTTATGGACTATAATTAAATAATATGATCATCATTAGATTCAAGGGCAAGAATTTCATACAAAAGTAATTTATTTATTTATAATACATTGCCAAAACACAGCCCATCGATCCATAGAACACTTCAAACAAAACCAAACACAACTCAGACTACAGATCTCAGCCAGAGATTTCAATCCTTTTCACCTCAGCTCTCTTCTTCTCCTCCTCCTTGGGCACAACAACTGTAAGCACCCCATCCTCCATTGCAGCCTTCACATCGCTCGCCTTAGCAGAACCCGGAAGTTTGAAGCGGCGCAAGAAGCTGCCGATGCTGCGCTCGATGCGATGCCATGTATCGGTCTTTTCTCCTTCCTCCCGCTTCCGATCGCCGCTGATATGAAGCACTCGTCCATCCTCTAACTTCACCTCCACCTCCTCCTTTTTCATCCCTGGAAGATCGACCTTGAACACGTACGCACCCGGCGTCTCCTTCCAGTCGACGCGCGCGTAGAAGGCCGGGGACGGCGAGGATTCGTCGATGGAGACAGGGGAAGCGAAGGATTTGATGAAGGGGCATCTTTGGAAGGGATCCCAATGGTCGAGGGAGAATGGGTCGAAGATGTTGCTGTGGTTAGAGGCGAAGAAGGGACAGCCGCGGACAAGCGACATGTTCGACGAAATGCGTGAGAGCGGGGAATGTTTGATGGTAGCGAGATAGTGAAGTTGTTTGTATTTTTATAGGGGGTTTGGAGGATGGTGATTTGGTTTCTTAGGGTTTCTTGTGGGTTCGGGAGGTTGTGTGAGTGATGAGGGGAAGGTTCTACGGAATTCTAATAGTTTCTAACTTTCTAGGACGAGATTCAGAAGGATGGTACGTAAAAGAATTAACTATTCCTGTTAGTTCTCTAGAATTTGGTTTTCATTTTTTGCTCTTTGTAGATAAAAAAATTATGCGAGCATGAATTTTTTGAAAATCCATCTCTAGAATTGGGTTTTTATTTTTTGCTCTTTGTAGATAAAAAAAATATGCGAGCATGAATTTTGTGAAAATCCAACGCTCCAGAATCAATGAAGTCCAATAAAAGAAGATCTACGAATAGATAAAAAAACTCCACATTTCTGCTTAGTTGTATTCGCTGAAGCTAAAGACGAAAGGTTAACTGCGATAGAAGGAAAAAGAAAAAAAAAAAAAAAAATCTTGGTCAGAGCCAATCAGACTTGAAAAGACAAATCAATACCCACACTAGCCACCACTAGAAGGTCACATGAATGTATCGACCTATCTCTTAGTAGATCAAACTCGAGAAGCGAGTCTGATTTCTTGCCATCACCGGATGTCTCATGAATACCCTCGAGGTTCCTACTTAGGAACAAAAATTGGCAATAAAACAACTTCACAATCGTTAAAGTCCAGGTGACTGAGTCAATCCCGTCGACCCAACTAATCAAATTCAGCTGATCGGTTGTGCCGATTCTGTCAAACCCCAAGCCGAAATGATGATAGCATAAGTGACTCAGTCATAAAGTAATGGACTAGTAGGCTCCCATATGTAAAACACCTAAATATCTTGTAATTGTTGAGGTGTTTGGTAAAATTGTGTTTTGCTTGTGTTCTCAAAAACTATGGTGGAAAAGATATATTTTGCAACTTTTTGAAAAAAAAAAAATTATAATAGCCACCAGAGCTCTTAAATAACAACTTCAAACAATAGCAGTTCCCACAAACAAATCCTTAAAGGTTGTTTGGTAGTCAATTTTAAGCATGAATTATGCATCATTAATGTTAAATAGTGCCAAATGGAAAAAAAGGTAGTGGATAATCCTACAAATTCTTAAATCTCATTTTTTTACTTCATTTTGACTTAAATCTGGGATTTAGTAATTCTCGTTGGAAAAGAGATTTACGGGATTTGGAGAAGCAAAAACATGGAGGAAAATAAATACTACTAATCTATTAAAATTGTCAAAGAGTTTCTCCGGATTTATTAAGTTTTACTTGTTAACATCCACTTCAATATTTCAGAAATCCGAATTTACAAGATTTACTAAATCATGTTTAAACTAAATATTACTTACATCCAAACAACCCAGGTTCAATTGCTTCAGGGCTTTAACATGCATAATGTTGGATGATTTCATGGACAATTAAGCTTTCTAGTAGTCACTATACGTAGCTATGTCTAGTGGGAAAATACAATTTTTACTTGTAGCTTTTTGAGAACATAGGCAAAACAATGCGACATCACATCGCTACCGCACCGCCGCCCCAAACACATCCTAAATCATCATAATATGACTAATTTTGATTAAAAATTAATAATTTTTGGTGTCATATTCGATTCTTCAAGTAGCTTCTTTATGTCGTATTCATCTATTGAGCATTTGTAAATTCATAATTTAGCAATGAAAATTACCATCAATCAAAAGAGAGTTTTGCAAAGCCATCAATTTTTATACTAAATTTATTAATTTAAATACTTGATTACACTTGTAGCTTTGGCTTATTTTTTTTAAAATTAATGATGAAAATAGTTAGCTTGAAGAAGCATTTTCTTCTACCGAGCTCAAGAGCTATGTAATAAGATAGGGACATTTACACACATAGCACACAATTCTAATCTATTTATATATGTAGCACCTAAAATTTTATATTTACGCACATAACATTCACATCTAATATTTCATTAAAAAGTTTTATTATCATTTTTAAATACTAACCAGAGTGCTGTATATGTAAATATGAAAGTTTAGGGTGATATGCCGCATCCACCGAGTAAAGTTGGAAGTTAAAGTGGCATATAAGTAAAAAACAAATTGTCAGCATATTTTCTAGTTTTTATATGGGCGGCTTTAATTCTACTTTATAAAAGAGCCAAAATAAATTTTAATTATTTTAAAATTGAATAATGAAGATTATTTTAACATTTTAGTCTGCAAGTAAATATTAAATTTTATCTGTCAGGGAAATAAATAAAAACTATTTCGCCAAGCATTTCCATCCGTAGAAAAAATAAATATTAAAATAAAAACGGGTCCGCCTGTCAAAGGAGAAATTATAGCATACTGAATGAATTTGTCACGTTGTAATTTCACTTGCATATAATCGTTTTCTCTCCATCCTATTTTGCAAGCATCCAAGCTCTCTGCTTCTTCCATCCCCCACCCAAAAAAAATTGATGGAGTCTGCCACACAAAACCAGAAGCTAAAAGCCCACGTTCTGATCTTCCCCTTACCTTTCCAAGGCCACATAAACACCATGCTCCGCCTAGCCGACGCCCTCTCCTTCGCCAGCGGACTCCGCATCAGCTTCATGAACACCGAACGCAACCAGCGCCTCTTCAGCGTATTCTCCCCTTCCCCATACTCTCGCTTAACCCACCGCCCCAATTTTCGCTTCATTTCAATCCCCGACGGCCTCCCCGACGACAAACCTCAATCCGGGCATCAAGTGCTGGAGCTATTACAATCGATCAGAACCCACTCGGTTGATTACTTCCGCGCGCAGCTTCTCGCAGGCCGGAACAGAGACTCCGACGGCTGGCCGCCCGTTACCTGCGTTATCGTGGATGGAGCAATGCCCTTTGCCATGGATGCCGCTCAGGCTTTGGGAATCCCTGCGATTGTATTCCGAACTATTAGTGCGTCTTCACTTTGGGTTTATCTTCGCTTTCCACAGATGATAGAGGCCGGCGAACTCCCTTTTCCGGGTTCCACCAATTGTTTCTTCTACTTTATTCATTAAATTCGAAGATTTTGCAGTTCGTGAATATTAAAAAATGGAATTTTGGGCCTTGTAAATTACAAACTAACAACTGTAAAAAATTGCAGCCGATGCGGACCTTGATGAACCCATAAAAAGCGTGCCGGCCACGGAAAGCTTTCTCCGTCGTCGTGACCTCCCCACAATGTGTCGAAAAGCAACAAAAGCCGAAGACGAAGAGCTTAGGTTTTTCGCTGAAGTCTCCGCCAGCGCCATAAGGTCGGAAGGACTAATCCTCAACACTTCAAACTTCCTCGAAGCTCCGGTTCTCTCTCAATTGCGCTCGCTCTTTCCCAACGCTTACGCCGTCGGG